GCCAAATAGTTATGTCGTGAGATACTGAATACGAGTTTTTAGCATCTTCAGAATCAGCTGAGATTCCTGCCTCATGATTCATGTAGCAATTTTATTTTATTTTTTAAAGATTTTATTTATTTATTTGAGAGAGAGAGAGAGAGAGCAGGAGAGGGGGGAGGGTCAAAGGGAGAAGCAGAATCCTTGCTGCACAGGCAATGCAATGTAGGATTTGATCCCAGGACCCTAGGACCATGACCTGAGCAGAAGGCAGACCCTTAACTGACTGAGCCACCCAGGTGCCCCCATGTAGCAATTTTAATTGATTATTTTAGCAGAAAGGGATGGACAGCCAACCCAGGAATGAGTTTTTTCTCTTTACATGCAAATATAAGGATCTTCTTGCCTCCTTCTTCTATCTTCCTCTTTTCAGTTCTCTTAAACTCCCAGTCAGTGGAGGTCTGATACCTCCAAGACCCAAATCTTTTTTTTGCAGGAGTAGAAAGGGAGGCAAGAAACTTTAGTAGCTGCTCTTTACTGAGTCTTTTCTGTGTACCAGTGATTCCTTGATCAAGGCTTCCCAGCTCATCAGTGGTAGAGCTGGGATTTGAACCTAGTCCTTTGCTCACACTCATGTGCTGTCCACATTCTTCTTTCTTTCTTTCTTTTTTTTTTTTTTTTTAGTTAAAGATTATTTATTTATTTATTCATGAGAGAGAGAGGCAGAGACACAGGCAGAGGGAGAAGCAGTCTCCATGCAGGAAGCCTGATGTGGGACTCGATCCCGGGACTCCAGGATCTCGCCCCAGGCCCAAGGCAGGCACTAAACCGCTGAGTCACTGGGGGCTGCCCCCTTATTTCTAAGTTGTTCCCACATGGCTCCTTCCCTAAGCTGCTCCTCTGCCTAGAAATAGTCTTTTGCCTTTATTGCCTCAGGAACTTTGGTTTCCGTCAAGAACAACTCAAAAGTCACATCTTCCAGCAGATTTTAATATCCTTCTGCAGGGGTTCCCCTAGAACACAGGCCTTCAAAATTGCATTGGCCTCAATTCATGATAAGAAATATATCTTATACCACTACCCAGTGCCAGGATACATAAATAATTGAAATAAAACTTTCATGAAAAAAATACAGTGCATTGGGGATCACTGGGTGGCGCAGCGGTTTAGCGCCTGCCTTTGGCCCAGGGCGTGATCCTGGAGACCTGGGATCGAATCCCACATCGGGCTCTCGGTGCATGGAGCCTGCTTCTCCCTCTGCCTATGTCTCTGCCTCTCTCTCTCTCTCTCTCTCTCTCTCTCTCTGTGACTATCATAAATAAATAAAAATTAAAAAAAATACAGTGCATTCTGATAGTTTTAATTTTATTTCATTAAAAATATATATACCTGGGTGCATGGCTGGCTTAGTTGGAGGAGCATGCAACCCTTGATCTCTGAGTCGTGAGTTTGAGCTCCACATTGGGCATAGAGATTACTTAAAATAAATAAATAAATGAACTTTAAAAATACATTTATTTACTAATTATAACCCACTTAAGTTGCTATCATGACCTGCTAATGAGTTGGCCAATTTGAAAAACTGCCCTAGAAAATACTCTTTCTAATTTTGACAGCTTTTCTTGCTTCTCTCATTTCTGAAAGCCTCCAATCCTCTGGCACCTCATATAAATGCACTGGGGCCCATATAAATGCACTGGTTCCTTAAAGGTTTTTGCTCATGAGTTTCTGCTCCTTATGGATTTCTACTCCAGTAAGTGTGATTCTATGTATCTACCTGACTGTCTCCAGTTTGGGGGCACTTGTTTGTCCCAGTTGTCTGACAGATCTTAAAGGAGTTGTTGGGACGCCTGGGTGGCTCAGGGCGTGATCCTGGGGTTCTGGGATCAAACCCTCGTCAGGCTCCCAGTGAGGAGCCTGCTTCTCCCTCTGCCTGTGTCTCTGCCTCTCTCTCTGTCTCTCATGAATAAATAAATAAAATCTTTTTTAAAAGGTTAAAAACAAAATAAAAAGAGTTGTCGATTTTCAAATTTATTCAGTTTACTTTTTACTTGATGTTAGGTTGGAGTAACAACTTCTTTACATACCACAGCAGAAACTAGAAGTCAAAAAGGCTTCTTTTAAAAATATAAATTAATAAACACTTAAATTTATATGGAAATGCAAACAATTCTTTGAAAAAATAAACAAAATGGAAGGATTTATACTACCTGACTTCAAGATTTATTGTAAGGATACAATAATCAAGACAGTGTGATATTGGCATAAAAAGAGACATATAGGGACTCCTGGGTGGCTCACCTGTTGAGCATCATCTGCCTTTGGCTCAGGGCGTGATCCCATGGTCATGGGATTGAGTCCCACACTGGGCTCCCTGCATGGAGCCTGCTTCTCCCTCTGCCTCTGTCTCTGCCTCTCTCTGTGTTTCTCATGAATAAATAAATAAAATCTTAAAAAAAAAAAGAACAGACAGATTTATAAATCAATGGAACGGAATAGAGTCCAGAAGCAGACTCACAAATTTAATGGGTAAAGAATAATCTTTTTAATCAACCATGCTAGAGAAATTGGTTATCTCTATAGGGAAAAAAAATGAACTTCAACTCCTCATCTCACTTCTTGAACAAAACCTATCCCCAAAAGGATCAATGACTTTTAAATGTAAAAGCGAAAACTATAAAACCTCTAGAAGAAAACTTGGGTGAAAATCTTTATGGCTTGGGTTAACAATAATTTTGTTAACATACAAATAGCATGAATCAAAGAAGAATAATTAATAAGGTGGTATCCATAAAAAGGAAAATGTTTTTCAAAAGACGTAAGAGAATAAAAGGCAAAAACCATTTTATTAATTATGTTTTAAATTTTTTATATTTTATGGTGCTTTGCTGTGTTGGGGGTTCTGGCAGTTGGGAGGGACTCCCCCTTTCAGGGCTAGCTAATTTCTAGGAAGAGCAAAAATCTTGTCTGTGAGAGTGCTTTCTTATGCCGAACAACCAATCCAAAGACAATAGCCCCAACCATCACCTTTACTAACTCATGCACCAAGCCAATATTTCCCTTGCCTTAAATCACTCCAGAGTCACGCTTATAGCCCAGAGTCTGCTAAAATTATTATTTAGGATAAGTTTATTATCCTAAACTTGCTCAAATTTACCTACCCTGCTTCACTCATATCTTCCTGTGAAAATTATAATGCAGGCTCTGGGCTAGGCTTTCTCCTTTACTCCTTCTGCTTCCTGACCAAGCCCTGTATAATGCAGCATACACTCCTATTGGGGATTGTAAGTAATAAAATTTCTTTTATTGGCATTAACCTCTCCATGTTGTCACTCAGTTACTTTTATAAATTAGCTCCTGGATACAATCAAAACAACCACAGATTAAGAGAAAACACTCACAGTACATATATCTGACAAACAACTAGCATCAGAATCAATGAAGAACTCTTGAAAGTCAGTAATAATAAGATAGCCCAATTTGCAAAATGGGCAAAAGATCCATACAGATACTTCAGAGAAGAGTTATGAATGAACAATGAAGTACATGAAGAGATGCTCAACATCATTAAAAAAATTAAGACTACATAATAAGAGGGGTGCCTGGGTGACTCAGTTGGTTAAGCATCTGATTCTTGGTTTTGGCTCAGGTCATGATCTTGAGGTGATGGGATTGAGCCTGCCATTGGGCTCTGCACTGAGCTAATAGTCTGCTTCAGATTCTCTCTTCCTCGGCCTCTCCCCTGTGCATGCTCTCTCTCTAATAAATAAATAAGATCCTTAAAAACCAAACCAAAACAAAAACCCTACATAATGAGTTGCCACTACCCATTCATAGGATGGCTAAAATTAAAAAGGTGGATAACGTCACGTGCTGGCAAGAATTTGGAACAGTTGGAGCTGTTGGTTTTTACAGGTTGGCAGGCATATAAAATGGTACAATCACTTTGAAAAATAGTTTGGCAGCTTCTGTAAAATTAACATACACTTAATAAACATATAATACATATATACGAATACATAATGTAATAATGCATAAACACAAATATACCATATATGTTTGTATTTTATGTAATTATACCTTAATGAGGCTGATTTTTTAAATGAAGCAGTTTAAGGGGTGCCTGGCTAGCTCAGAAAAGCATTTGACCTTGATCTCAGAGTTGTAAATTAATGCTCCACATTGGTGTAAAGATTACTAAAATACATAAATAAGTAAACAAAAATAAATAAATAAATAACCGTTTATTTTTTAAAAATATTTTACTTATTTATTTGAGAGAGACATAGAGAGCAAGAGAGAGAGAGAGAGAGCATGAGGGAGACGGCAGGGGCAGAGGGAGAAGCAGACTTCCCACTGAGCAGGGAGCCAGATGCAGAACTCAGTCCCAGGATCTTGGGATCATGATCTGAGCTGAAGGCAGATGCTTAACCAACTGATCAACCCAGGCGCCCCCAAATGAAATAGTTTAATACTTAACTGATAGAGAAAGGACTCATAAAAATAGTAAAGGAAAAAACAACCCAGGTGTCAAACATTATGTATAGTGTGTCCTTACTTGGTATATATAAAAAAAATAAGTACAAAAGTGACAGCAGTTGCTGCCTAATGGCTTTTGGTTCTGTTTTCTTAGTTTTAGAGAATGAGGAGCAGTTTTACAAAAAGAAGGGACAATATGAGGGTCAGCTTTGACCTGTCCTTTTGGAAATAATATCATCTATTGAGATATAGAAAAGTGGCAATCTTATTAAGAAAAAGGAAGTACACTAGAAATAAAATCTGCTTGATTATATAATGTGCTACCAAATACTGATGACATTGAATTGAAATCAATTTGTGCCTTCCTTTGACCTGTTATATGTGGAATTCCCAATAAATATTCCTCTGTAGTTTTGAGAATTCAGTTACAAACAGGGCAGTCCACGATACACAGTCAGAATTACAGAGAGAATAGGACTTACACAAAGAATAACCAGAAGTATGTTTTAAAATATCAGTCCTCTGCCATTCCCTATTCAGCTATGGCATCCCAGCCAGATAGCAAAGAGCTAAGCTATACCTGTCAAGATCATTGCGAAGAAACGTGGTGTGGATCTAAGTGGCAACCAAAGTGTAACTCTTTCCACTTTGATGATTGGGTGTAGACCTGTGCTATCAAATAGAGTAACCACTAGCCACACATATCTGTTTAAATGTGAATTTAAATAAATAAAATTTAAAACTCAGTTGTACAGTCATGCCAGCCACATTTCAAGTGCTCAAGAGCCACCTGTGGCTAGTAGCAATTCTACTGCATAGTACAAACTGAGGATATGCTCATGATCTCAGAACCTTCTACCATATAGTGCTGATCTTGATAGAGTCTGGTACAAATGAATACTGAATGAATGAATGAATGAATGAGCAGCAGTGTTTTCACCTAGTTACTCAATGAGAGAGGAGTGTGGTATCTACACAGAGGGAGGGAGTTACACCATGGTTAACAATAAGAACATCCTACCATTAACACAGCAGTACACTTTTCAAATTTTAAAACATTTCATGTATGTGACCCAAGTGACTTTATTCAATCTTTCTCATGAGTCTTCCAAATAGAGAAGGTATCGATGCCTTAATTTTATAGCTGAAGAAATATAGCTGCACAAAACCTAGCCTTGTGACATTTTGAAGTCTCTCTCAGGTGACATTTCTTCAGCTATAAAATGAAGAGCATGAGCAGACTCAGACCTAGTGGTCATCTCCATAGGGAGGATATGGAAGCCAAGAGGAGAGATGAGACCCTACAGGGAGAGAGAGGAGACTTGCTGACAGGACAAATGCACTGGGATGTGGTACCATTTCCACTGAGGTTAGTAGTGGAAATTGCGACAGATGGGAAGGGAAGCTGGGTGGGATCCTGGGGATTGGAGTGAGTGCCAGATGGTGCCTTTCAGACCAGGGAGTCTTGAGGACTTCAAGGAGGAGCATGTCTATTTGCATGAGTCAAGCTTAAGATTTGAAAAATAGGAGCAGCCTCGCCCTGGAAGAAAACTAGTGCAGATAGTGTCTCAGAGTGAAAAGCCAGGGAGATATTTCTCCAAGCTATGAAAGGCTGCTCAGGTACAGTGTAGTCTGCGTTTGAGGGTTAGACCTTGGAGAGTGAGGAACAGAAGTTACACAGCTTCTCCAGGGACTTGGAGAGGTGCCAGAGCTTACTTACCCCAGTAGACAATTGTTTTGTAGTAATACCCTACAGAAAAGACCAAATTCTATGAGTGGTGAAATGTGCTACTTTTTTGAGTGGTGACAGAAGTATTTACCCCAGAGATACAAATGCAGTGATCTGAATGGGCACCTGCACTGCAATGTTCATAGCAGTAATGTCCACGATAGCCAAACTGTGGAAAGAGCCAAGATGGCCATTGACAGATGAATGTATAAAGTGTGGTGTATATATACAGTGGAATATTACTCAGCCATCAGAAAGGATGAATTCTTACCAATTACATTGACCTGGATGGAACTGGAGGGTATTATGCTGAGTGAAACAAGTCAACCAGAGAAAGATAATTATCAGAGAATATGGTTTCACTCATATGTGGAATATAAGAAACAGCACAGAGGATCATAGGGGAGGGAAGGGAAAACTGAATTGAAAGTCATCAGAGAGGGAGCAAAACCATGACAGACTTAACTCCAGGAAGTGAACTGAGGGTTGCTGAAAGGGATGGGGGAGATGAGGTAACTGGATGATGGACATTAAGGAGGGCATGTAATGTGATGAACACTGGGTGTTTTATGTAGCTATCTGAAAAAATACTATCTGAAAAAAACTGATGTACTTTATGTTGGCTAATTGAATTTAAATTTTAACAATTGGCTAAAAATAGTAGCTAACATGTATTGAGCTATTACTTTGTATGAGATATTATACAGGAATTCTCATGACTTCATAAGTTAAATAGTGTTCTCAAACCCAATGCACAGATAAGCAACCAGTGGTATCCTGGAGCCGGTTTTTACTGTTCAGTCAAACCTGACTGTTGAATTCTCATGGTTCTTTTTAGCCAGTTGACATATGTTGTTAGCTTGAAATCAGTCATGGTGAAAAGATTTCTAACGTAAATGCTACAAATTAGGGCCTTTTCAATATTTAGTAGCACAGCACTGGAATAGGTTCAGAGAAGGTTAGCAACTTGCCAAGCTTACACAGACAGTAGCAACCGGCAGATCTTAGGCCAATTTCATTACTTTAAAGTCCATAGTCTTACCACTAGACCTCCCTAGAGACTCTTCTGTATTGGGGCACACGACTGCTCCCCCTACTTCATTACCAAAGAAAATCTATGTTGCTCAACAAAGACTCTCAGATTAAGGATGAGGGGCTTTGCAGAGCTTTTCTTGAGGGCCTGGAATTCAAGCATTTGGCATTTCCGTAACTCAAGATGGGTCTGAGGAGAGGGAGTGGGAGGTGGGAATGCATGATCATTTGCTCTGGCAATAGGATGCTGAGATGCACATTTTATACAAATGAATGAATGAATATATTTCCCCCCATCTCTTCAGTGAATTTCATAAAGAAGAGTCAAATCATCATTCAAAGGATGAAAATGACTATTATAAAGCAAATTGTGGATGAGCTATTTGTGTAGAATGCTCTGAATTAAGAAGAAGTAAACATCATTTGCTGTGAGAAGGTCCAGCAGGATGCTGCGAGAAGGATCAACCACATGACTTTGAAGATGGCCTCCCAATCCTGTAACCTCGATCTCAAATCCCTTGAAAAATGAAAATGTCCTCTTTTCAGGATTTGAATGGACAAAGTAAGTACCAATTTTCCTGTATCTGTTCTACAAATAGAATAAACCATAAAGAAGATCGACTATCCCCATAAGAGGGCCTCTGCTCTCCTCTCTCTTTATAGTGCTGGGTAGTGGGTTTTGGTTCTGCAAAGGAAAAGCTCAGACACTCTCAGAAGAAACTCCCATTTAGATTACTTGTTGTTGAAGCCAAATTAAGTCACTCCAGAGTTAGAGATTACTTTTTTTTTTTTTTTTTTTTTTTTTAAGGATTTTATCTATTCATGAGAGAGAGAGGCAGAGACACAGGCAGAGGGAGAAGCAGGCTCCCTGTGGGAGCCCGATGCAGAACTCCATCCCAGGACTCCAGGATCACGACCTGAGCAGAAGACCGACTCTTAACCACTGAGCCAGCCGGATGCCCCCAGGGTCAGGGATTACTGATTTAGTATAGTCTCAATTCAAAGTCAAACTGGATAAAGAAGTTAATGCACTCAAGAAGTTGGTGCAGTTGTGGTTCTTAATTCCTTAGTCCAATGAGGAATTACTATTTTAAATAATACTATCATAAAGAAATAATTTTTATTTTGTTTCATGATAGATTTTAATCAAAGTTAAGGCTTGATCTGGTGAAAGTTACCCCTAACCATCTCTCTCAGCCACATCCCTACTATTCTCATGCACTTTCCTTAACCCAAACACAGACTCCTCCCATTTCCGTTGGGCTGTGACAAAGATACTGTGGTGAAAAGAGGAAACAGAAGGCCAAATGGGAAGAGCAAATATTTGGAATCCTTTGTGCCAGCTCAGAACTGGGGAAGGAAAGTCAAGTCATCTATGGAAGATTCTCGGCATAACTCCCTCTTTATCGTCCTGAACTCTGAGTTCTGGGAAGACACAGAATTGAGTCTTCTAACCTTCCTCTTCTCTTCCAAGTCTTTCTCAGCAGATATTGAGAAGACTTAGATGATTTTTCTCAGGATCTAAAGGCTTTATACCATATCCCATCTTTTCCGAACTTTTTTCCCCTGGGTGAAGATACTGACATTATTTTTAATTTGAAAGGCACCTTCACAGAACCTGTTCTTTGGAGGAAGGACCCTCACCATCACATATTGGAAGCAGCTGGTCTGAATGGTCTGCTAGACACTCTTCAATGAATTTTTTTAAAGATTTATTTATTTATTTATTCATGATAGACACAGGGAGAGAGAGAGAGAGAGAGAGAGAGAGAGAGAGAGAGAGAGAGAGAAGCAGAGACACAGGCAGAGAGAGAAGCAGGCTCCATGCCGGGAGCCCGATGTGGGACTTGATCCGGGGACCCCAGGATCGCACCCTGGGGCCAAAGGCAGGCACTAAACCGCTGAGTCACCCAGGGATCCCCGCTAGACACTCTTCAGAGACCCTGCATCATCAAAGGGGAATCTGACACAGGGAACTATCACAGCAAGATGCAGACTCAGCAATTCACTAAAGTCTCAAGAGCCACAGGAGGTGACCACGTGGGAAAGTAACTTACAGAAAATGGCTTTCATTTCAGACATTACATCAAGTATAGCATCCTGCTCTTATATGAGGGTGGATCATCTACTGAAGCCACCAGGACTGTTTTGAAACACCCTGCAGCAGTGTATCCACATAGTAGCTTCCTGGGGCTCTCCAACACGAGGAAGCCTCTCTGGAGGTAAGAATCTATGCAAAATGTGAAAAACACTCCTGTGCAAGAAACTCTGAAAGCCATCAACATCAATTCCTTTACAGAATGTGGCATTAATTTATTCCATGGGAGTATATCTGAATCACACCTGAGCAAAGAATTTGAAAATTTCCTTTGTGCTAAAAGCTTATATATCAACTCAGAGAACATCCCTGATTACTTATTTGACTTGTTTGAACACTTACCTAATTGTGCAAGTGCTCTGGACTTGATTTCACTTGACTTCTGAGGAGAAGCTAGGGCCTCACGGGACAAGACTACAGAAGACATGAGCAGGACTCAGGAAGAGACCTCAGAAACCCACATTCCCAGCAGGGCTGTGTCTTTGTTCTTCAGCTGGAGGCAGGAATTCAAGACTCTGGAGGTCGCACTCCAGGACTTCAGGAAAAGACGAAATATCTGGGTAAGATATTCAGCCCTGCTACAAGCCTCAGATTGTGCATTACAAGACAGGGTGGTGTGGCCGGAAGGTTCGGTTCTCAGCACCTGTGAGAACCTTCATTCTCTTGTAGAAGCCAGTCCCCTCACCATAGAAGATGAGCAGTATATATATCACACTGGTGACAAACCTAACCACCCTGAGTTTTCAAGACCTACAGACTCCACAACTGCAGGGGATTAGAGACATCAGCAGTTTAAGCTATAATCAAGCCCAGGGGCACCATGGAAATATGAGGTATCATATAGTTTTGCTTTAGATTTTCTTTCTTTTTTTTTTTTTTTTTTTGCTTTAGATTTTCTAATACTTTCAACCAGGTGTCAGGACTTGGAAGGGAGGTAGGAGGACTGAGAGAGAGGTCTGTGTTAGGGAAGCTGTCATACTGGGAGGCACTAGGAAGGATTCCCGAGTGGAAGCTATACAGTCTGACTGAATGGCACTATAGTTTATATGGGGTGCGTGTGTGTGTATGTATGTGTGTGTGTGTGTGTGTGTGTGTGTGTGTATGGTAGGTTAAGCTTGTCTTCATTGACCTATCCCCCTTCTTAGCATCTCCATCTCCCACTGCTTCTCTGCCAAATGACACATCTCCCGGCTTCAGGTCTGGGAGGAAATCCAGCCTGTAAACTAATCACCTGCAGGAGCTGGTAGCTATTGTGTTACTGGGTTCTCACCCAGGAAACTGCAGAACATACCCAGCCCCACCCTACCCTCAAGTATCGTTCATTTTGAAAGAAGATTTTGGTAACAGATTTTGTGTAACACAAAGAAATTTCAGATCTCACATGTGGGGCCAATCTTTCTGAATAAGGGGGATTTTTCCCCAAATTCAAAATAGTCTTAAAGGTGAATGTCTGCCTTACCTGTGTAGACCAACTTCTCTGTGTAGATCAGCCCTGTTGTCTGGAACAGGGGCTGTTGTGGTGTGAAGCTATGGGCTGCAGGAGCTTTGGTCTACTTGACTATAACCTATGATTACTTTTCATTCACGATTGATTTCCCATCAGGCTCTGCCTCATTTGTCATCCTGTGGAGGAAATTTCGTATCATTAAACAAATCTAGAATCTTTTGCACAGATAATTTTTGCCACCTTCTCAATGAAAGAACCCCTTCCATAAGATTCTGCATGGTCCCTGGGATTCCATTAGCTACCTTATGCTTCAGGAAGCTCACCAGCTCCTCTTGATGGCTATTCCTTTGCACTGATCTTGCAAACTGGTTGCCCATGTGCTGAGTTTGGCCTACATATTGTGTGGAATTTTCTTTTGAATGTTTGCCAATATTTTGTTCTTAATTTTTATAATTTATTTTTTGAGTAATATATTCTCACATGATCCAAATTATAAACAATCTACAATGAAGTCTTCTTCCCTTTCCCATCCCCTTCATGATTCTCTCCCTGGAGTTGGCAGCATTTTGCGATTGGGAGATTGCAGTGTGAAAATACAGGACACTCATTTCTATTGAAAAGTGTAAGTCTGGCAACTGCATGCCCATCTCCACTTGGTAACAATCAGCTTGAGCTTCCTGAGATGCTCTTATACTTTGTGGACAAGACACACCATCTCCATGCGGGCACAGCACCCATCTGTTCTACTTCTTGTAATAATATTATCTTCCTGGACCTTGTTGACATTTGAGTTTGTAATCAGTGCTCATTCATTCTTATAGCTAAAATCCAGTGCCCTGTCATTTCTACCCAAGGTTGGTTTCTATTTCTGCCCTCCATGTCTCTTCAGAATCTTCCTAGTTTGTCCCTTTCTTTGCTGAATAGTGGTGTGTTGTATAGATGTGCCACAGTTTATCTTATCACCTCTGAAAGACATGTAGGTTATTTCCCGCTTGTGTGATTATAAATAGAGTTTCTATAAATGTTCATATGAAGGTTTTTGTATGAAAATAAATTTTCCTCACTGGATGTTATACTATATGCTGGCAAATTGAATTTAAATAAAATATTTTTAAAAAAAGAAAATAAGTTTTCCTTTTTTAGAGAGAGAGAGAGATCAGGATGGGGAGGGAGAGAGAGAGACAGAGAATCTTAGGCAGGCTTCACACCCAGTACAGAGCCCCAGATGAGGCTCAATCTTACCACCCTGAGATCATGTCCTGACCTGAAATCAGGAGTTGGACACTTAACTGACTAAGCTACCCAGGCATCCCTGAAAATAAGTTTTCAATTCACTTAAGTAAATACCTAGGAGTGGGATTGTTAAGCCATTTGATAAGTGCTTGTTTAACTTTTTAAGAAACTTCCAAGCTATTTTCCAGTATGTATCATTTTACATTTCTAATAGCAATGTATGAGAGGTTTAGCTGCTCTGCATTCTCACAAGGACTTAATATCCTTTGTGGGTTTTTTTTTAAGATTTTATTTATTTATTAATGAGAGACACACACAGAGACGGCGGGGGGGGGGGGGCAGAAACACAGGCAGAGGGAGAAGCAGGCTCAATGCAGGGAGCCCGGTGTGGGACTCAATCCTGTGTCTTCAGGATCTCGTCCTGGGCTGAAGGCAGGCGCTAAACCGCTGAGCCACCCGGGCAGCCCTCCTTTGTGGGTTTTTAAAATTTTGTCATTCTCTAACTGCTCTACAATAAAAACAAAAACAGGGATCCCTGGGTGGCGCAGCGGTTTGGCACCTGCTTTTGGCCCAGGGCGCGATCCTGGAGACCCGGGATCGAATCCCACGTCAGGCTCCCGGTGCATGGAGCCTGCTTCTCCCTCTGCCTGTGTCTCTGCCTCTCTCTCTCTCTGTGTGTGTGACTATCATAAAAAAAAAAAAAAGAAAAAAAAAAGTGCTGATGAGGGTAACACCAAGTGCTGATGAGGATGTGGAGCAACTGGAATTCTGGGAGCAGTGTTATTTCATCATACTTAGCTGGTAAAAGGTGAAAAAAGTTTTCATAGGCTTGTTTGCCAACTACATACCTCTTTGGCAAAGTGTCTAAGTTCTCACCCATTTTTTAACTGGGTAATTTATCTTCTTCATGTTGAATTTTGAGTGTTCTTTATATATTTTGGATACAGGTCCTTTGTCAGATAAGTGATTTGAAAATATTTTCTCCCAGTCTGTAACTAGTCTTTTCATTCTCTTAATGGTATCTTTCATAGAACAAAAATTTTAGATTTAGTTGCAGTCCATATTTGCTTGTAAAATCATGCTTTTGGTGTGATTTCTAAGAAATTTTTGCCTAACCCTAGGTCAGAAAGATTTTCTCCTACATTTTCTTCTTAAAGTTTTACATTTTACATTTAGATTTATGATCTATTTGAGTTAACATTTATATAAATTATGATGGTTAGACCAAGGTTCATTTTTCTTGCATATGGATATACAGTTGTCCTAATTTTATTGAAATGACTATTCTTTCATGTTTGAATTGAATTGCCTTTGTACTTTTGTCCAAAATCATTTGAGTGTAATTATGTGGGTGTATTTCTGGACTCTCTTCTCTTATTGATTCATCATTTGGCAACATCCTTAGTGACTGTAGATTTCAGTAAGTCATAAAATTGAGTAATGTTGTTTCTCTTTTATTCTTTTTCAAAATTGTTTTTTATATTCTAGTTCCCTTGTCTTTCACCTTGTTTATTTTATCAAAAATTCTTCCTGGAAAAAAAATAAAAATAAAAAAAAATTCTTCCTGGGATCTTGATTGGAATTACATGAAATCTATAGGCCAATTTAGGGAGAATCAACATATTTATTTGGTTGAATCTTTCAATCCATGAGCATGGTTTCCCTTTCAATTATATTTTTAAAATTTCTTTTATCATCATTTTGTAGTTTTCATCATGTTGATCCTGTATATGTCTTATCAGATTTACACCTAACTTTTTCATTGTAAATAGAATTTTAAAAAATTGGTTGCCATTATTTATTGCTATATAGAAATGCAACTGATTTTTGTCAGTTGATCTTATACTCTACACCTTTGCTAAACTCACTTCATGTCACCTCCAAGAACAGATTTATTTCTTCCCTTCCAATTTGTATTTATTTTATTTTCTTCCTTTATTGCACTGATTATGACTTGCAGTACAATGTTGAATAGGAGGGGTGAAAGAAAAATCCTCCCTTGTTCCTGATATGAGGAACAAAGCATTCAGACTTTCACTACTAAGTATGATGTCAAAAGTAGTTTTTCTGTAGATGACTTTTATCAGGTTGAGGAAGTTCCATTCTATTCTAGGTTGTTGTGAATTCCTATTATGGATGGATGTCAGATGACGTCAAATGTTTTTCTAGCCTCAATATAACTGATCATGCAGCTTTTCTTCTTAGACTGTTAATATGTTGAATTATATGGATTGATAGTCAAATATTGAAACAGCTCTGTATTCCCTGTAGGAAGCCCACTTGGTGGTAGTATAACATTCTTCTTATATATGGCTGGAATCCTCAGTAACATTTTGTTGAGAAGTTTTGCTTCTATGTTCCTGAGTGATATATTGGTCTGAAGTTTTCTTCTGCTTTATGTTTTTGGTCTAGGTTTTGTATCATTTAATGACAGCATCATTAAAGAGCTGGGAAGTGTTCCCTCCACTTCTACTTTCTGGAAGTGATTTTTTTTTAAGATTTTATTTATTTATTCATGAGAGACACAAAGAGAGAGGCAGAGACACAGACAGAGGGAGAAGCAGGCTCCATGCAGGGAGCCCAATGCGGAACTTGATCTGGGGACTCCAGGATCACGTACGTCCTGAGCTGAAGGCAGACGCTTAATCGCTGAGCCACCTGGGCGTCCCTCTGGAAATGATTTTATAGAAATGGTGTTATTTCTTCTATGAATGTTTGGTAGCATTTGCAGGTTAAATTATCTGTGTCTGCAGATTTCTTTTTTGGAAAATTTTAAACCATAGATTCAACTTTCTCTAAGCACAGTGTTAGTTTCAGATTTTGATATATTTTCATTTCTATATTTTTCAAAACATTCTCTAGTTTTCCTTGATGCATGCTTCTTTAGAAGTCTATTGTTAAATTTCCGAGTGTTTGGAGATTTCCTTGTTATCTTTCTGTTATTATTTTCTAGTCCATTTCTGCTATATTTGGAGAACATGTTTTTAGCTAAAGAATACACCCATCTCTGGCCAAAAAAACAAAAACAAAGCATTCCTGTGTTTCCATGCTTCTGAAAGAATGACTTTCACATAGGTGACCTTTGTATGGTCCAGGAGATTGGATAGTGAGTTGAAAGAATAGCTCTCTTTGGCTTTTTATAACTCAAGGTCTCTACAGAAAGAGCATGATGGCAAGATCTCTGTGCAATTGCTCTTTACCTTCCTTTCAGTCTAGTAATCTATGTTTAAATCAAATTAACTTCATGTCTTAATGTATTTCCTTTCCAACTTTTTGCATCTGAAAGTCTGACAAACCTGAAGAAGATGAGTTTACTTCATATGACCCACTTGTCTGATATTGGGAAGGGAATGGATTACATAGTAAAGTCTGTCAGCTGAACTCTGTGACCTTGAAGAAATCCAATTAGTTTCCTGCTGCCTGTCAGCAAACACCGTGAAAACCCTAGATAACTGTTGCCTGCATTAACTGAATGAGAACAGTGTAAGAGAACATGTGATACTTTCATGCTAATGCATGCTAAGTCTCTCAAATGAATATTTAATTTTCAGGGAAACTGGAAAAGATAATAAAGATGTCCAGGTAGTACTTAGCCTGTTTTTAATGATATTCTCCATGACTTAAATAAAAATTTATTAAAAATGGAGAATTAGGAGAAAAATTCAGAATAATTGGAGATATTATAATTTTAAGAGATGGTGAAGAGAAAGTAAACAAGATATAGGTAATTGAAACTTGGCACATGTTCTGTTACATAATAACTGCCTAATAAATATTTGGATGACTGGATAAATAAATGATTGAGAAGCAGAGAGAGAATTTCCTTAAATGTTCTCAGGCTGTCCAGTTCTTACCAATTGCCCTGTTAAGATGGAATTAATGTTAACTCCATTAACATAAGAGTTGAGTCTTTTGAGTTCCCAGAGGGTATACATACCAAGTATCTAGATCCATATATCTAGATAAACTGGATATGTTCAATTAATATTTTTAAATTTATATTTTAAGGAAAAGATGGTCTAGCCCTCTTAAAACAGAATATAAAACTGCTAGGAATCTGTAAAAACTACTAAGGAAATCATTTGTATGCTAATATAATCCAAAAGCTAGAGAAACCCATGATCAGAAGAGGTTGTCTAGCCTCTACTAGGAAAACAATGATAAGTACACTCCTTCTTTACCTGACCCTGGGGAGTGACAGATTTAGAACTAAAAATGGCAGCTGTACACTTTTTGAGAGAAGTTCCTTTTTTTTTTTTTATGTTAAAGCACCAAACCCAGAAGTTACTTTCCTCTAAGACAAGGGTTCATATGATTGATTAAAAATAATAATAGTTACAGCAACTGCCTGGCTCAATCAGTAGAGCATGTGACTCTTCATCTTGGGGTCATGAGTTCAAGCCTCTTGTTGGGTGTAGAGCTTACTTAAAAAAAAAAGATTTTTTTTAAATAGAAAAAATTAGTAAAATTATAACAAAAGTTCATATCCATGAAAAACTTGACTTCTTTAAGTGGAGATTTTTCTTATCAGTTTGATAGAAAAACTTCATTTATTCATGAGACATAGAGAGAGAGGCAGAGACATAGGCAGAGGGAGAAGCAGGCTTCCTGCATGGACCCTGATGTGGGACTCAATCTTGGGACCCCGGGATCATGCCCTGAGCCAAAGGCAGATGCTCAACCCTTGAGCCACTTCCTTCTTTGATAGGAAAAACTTCAACTAGATTAAGCAACCATGATATGTATCTAAAGTGAAGAAAAGAACTAAGCAGTTGTTAGCTAGACTGATAGTATTCTATGATTAATGCTTACATGTAAACTACTTTTCCATATTTTTTACCTCAACATATTTGTGTCTTTGTCAAGAAATTACATCTCTTGCAGATAGCATGGAGTTGAGTCTTGCTTTTTGAAAAAAGAAATCCAGTCTTATTTCTGCCTTTTGATCAATGTTTAGTCCATTTACATTTAATGTAATTATTGATATAGATTTTCATCTGCCATTTTGCTATTTGTTTTCTATTTTTCTCACCTGTGTGTTTTTTTCACTTTCTAAGTTTTCATTATCAACATCACAACTATGACATTACCAAAATCATCTAAGCTGAAGTCAACAAAAAGTTGCTCATCGCATCTGCTTTTTGTTATTTTTGTTGTTCCTTTGTTTCTCCTGCATGATAAGGGCATTTTAGAATTGGAAGCAATCTCACATTTTATCTACTGCAACTTCCTCATTCTAAAGATGAAGACACGGAGGCTTGGAGAAATGGAGTGACTTTCCTATAATGACATAACTATATTTTATGTTGCATTAGGTTTTATGTGAACTGAAGTTTATTAGTCAGAACTTAGGACTGAAATATCTGTCCATTTAGTCACAGCCATGGGAGCTCAGGGTTAAATGTAGCCAGATAACTTTGGGAATAAATAATTTAATTAATCAGGTCAAATAATGGTTTGTATATTATCAACAAAGAAGATAAAGCCTTAGCATTCTTCTAAGGATATTTAAAAATCCATATGTAGTTCCCTAAAAGGCTTTTTATTTTGGATTGAATTTTTTGTCCAGCTCAGAATCTTCACAATTTGGCCAAACTGAGCATTCTTGACTTATCTGAAAATCACCTGGAAAATGATGAAATGAAGCTCTCTACACAAATTGAGTAAGAATGACAATGTAGCCAAAGTTGGATACTTGAATATGGGTGCTGGATAGTCAGAAAAACATTGCTATTTGTTTTCTATTTTTCTCACATCTGAGATGTGATGTTTCTGGACCACATGTGCCTTACCAGATGTCCTTTAAGGACATTTCTTAAACCACCCATAAGAAGAACAGGCCAATGGCTTTGAGTCATACGCCCATTGCACCTGAGGTTCCCACCTGTTGCCTACTTCTAGAGAGCTAGTGATGAGAGTAATTGATATTAAAGACAAATCTGCTTAAGGAGTTAGTGATACAAAAAAAAGGAGTTAGTGATATGGTTTTAAAATGTGATAGCGATATTATTATGTTTTTTTAAAACTGATACTGAGATTTGCTTTAAAATAATTCAGAAGGAAGAGAAAGAATTAGGTGAGGATGAAGCAAGCTTGTCTGATCTGATGTTTGTTGAAAGTTGGCTTATTAGTAATATAGTTTCATTATACTATTCTGCATACTATTTGTATGTCACTGAATATTCTTTAATACTTTCCATAAAAATACTGACCAAAACACAAGTAGATTCTCATCCCATGATGAGTGGGCTGCAGAGAAAAAGACCATTCCTTCTCCCACAGCCCTTAATCCTTCATCAGTTTCGAGATGGATTCAATTCCTGCACTCCTCTCTGATTCTTCATGTTGATATGGCTCCACATCCTGGAACAGCTAACTGTGCTGATGCTGCCCTGGTGGAGTGACATATGAGTTAGTTTGACGAGGCTGTTGGAGAAAGTGGAGGCTCCCCCCCCTCCAGTTTGTCAAGATTGGGCTGAAAAACTGGACACTCAAGATGCCAAGATTAGATTCTAGGTAGGTACACACACACACCCACCCACACACACACCCACACACACCCACACACACACACACAGCCAAGACAAAAGGAGTTAGCCCTAACAAAGCTCTTAAGTTGCTTTTAAAAATTGTGTTTATATACCTCCTCTCTATATTTTCTAAATATTTTATTTTTAAGTAATCTCTACACCCAATGTGGAGCTTGAGCTCACAATCCTGAGATCAAGAATCACATGCTCTACCACCTGAGCCAGTCAGGGGCCCCACCTTCACTTTTTTATACAAATATATTTAAGGAGAGTTCACACACTCTAAGGAGTAAAATGACTTAAAATACTGGCCCATCTTCAGTTTTCTAAGCATTGGATCTATAGTATTAAAGGAAAAACTTTTCCATTACCTGACAAGGTGTATTATGTTAGGAATCACTCTTGCTAGCCTTAACTGTCTGAAATTCAGCAATGCAGGGTGCTGGGGTGTCTCAGTCGACTAACCATCTGCCTTTGGCTCAGGTCATGATCCTGGGGTCCTGGGACTGAACCGAGCCCTGCATCAGACTCCCTGATCGGAGGGAAGCTTGGTTCTCCCTCTCCCTCTGCCTCTTCCCTCTGGTCATGCTCTCTCTCTCTCTCTCTCTCTCTCTCTCAAATAAATACATCTTTTAAAAAATGAGATTCAGCAATGCCTCTCCAATTTTGGGGAATTTTTTTTTGGAAATATTTTTAAGGAATATCTGTTGGGTGTTCAAAACATGTAAAGCTAAGTACAATTTTATCTAAATGGGATCACTGAATATTTTCAAGCAACTGTGAAATATTCCCAGAATAGAGATATATAAATGATTAAAGATCTCATCAGCCTCAGGCAGTTGATGGAGGGTCTTCATGCACTCTGTATTAGTTATCAATTTCTGTCCAACAGATTACCCCCCAAAATGGTGGCTTAAAATAACTATAAATATTATCTTAAAATTTCTGGGTGGGTGAGGAATGTGGGAGCTGGGTAGTTCTGGCTTAAGCTCTGTCATGAAGTTGAAGTACAGATGTAGGATGTGGTGGCTGCTGGAGAATCTGCTTTCAAGGGGCTCCTCAGTGGGTTGGCGGGTTAATGCTGGCTCTTGGCTGAAGGCTTCTGTTTCTCATCCCTGGACCTTTCCATAGGCTGCCAAGTGTCCTCACAATATGGTAGCTCACTTCCCTCAGAGCAAGAGATCCAAGAGGGAACCATTTGGAAGCTGCAATGTCTTTTATGATCTAGCCTTGGGGAGTCATTTCTGCTTTATCCTATTGGGTTACCCAGGTCAGCCCTATCCACTGTGGCAGGAAGTGGGGGCAGGGTAGACAATATAAGGGAGTGTATACTAGGAGATGAGGATCATTGGCACCATTTGGAAGGCTGACTAATATACTTAAGGACTGGTGAAAATAGTTTTGACTTCATTTCCCTCACAGATTGTCTAGGATATATTTGTAGGATATTGTGAAACTTATAATTTTAACCATTTTTAAGTGTACAGTTCTGTGGTATTAAGTGCATTCACATTCTTGCACAACCACCATCACCATTTATCTCCAGAACTTTTTCATCTTCCTTGACTAAAACTCTGTACCCATTAAAAACTAAATCCCCATCTACTCTTTTTAAAATCTTTTCTCTTAGGGATGCATAAGAGAGAAGTCCTAAAGCTTTAAGTCCTAAGGCTCCTCAAGGGTTTTTGTCTTCCCTAATGGTGCTTCAAGTTCTGGATCTTTTTCCTCTTAATTCCTAACTCCACCTCCATCCCCTCTACCCACTCCCTTAACCCATCAAATCATATGATTCTGGGTGTCATTCTTACAGGTCCCTCCTTTATTCTGGGTGATATTGGAGGTGGCTTCTGTGACCAGGCTAAGTAATTAGATAATAAATAATCCCTGTTGGGTAACTTCATACCTTAGACAAGTTGGAAAGAAGGTGTCTTTTCAAGGAGACCACTGGAGAGTGCATAGAATTAGAATCATATGTTGGGGAGGCATTTTTAGATCGAGGCCTTTTAGCATCTTTCAAATCCTTAAGTAGGTAGCTGGCTGATTTGCTCACTTCTCAGGCTGGCCAATGAGACCAGAGAAGGAGATGGCATATTTAGTGAGAAAAGAACCGAGCTAGGGAGTAATCTGCCATTTGACTTGAGTTGCCCAAGTGCCTTAGAGCCTCCATATGTAAATGAGAAAAATAAGTGTAGAAGGCAGGTGATTCTTGGAAATTTAGCTGTTAACAATGTACCCCCAAATGCAAGTAAAAATTACAAAGGAACTAAATAGTACTAACTACTTTATTCTCAAAGTATTTTGAAGAAGAACTTGTGGAATTATCATGACATCCCTAATAAAAGATAACATTATTCTTGTTTTATAAAGAAGCAGAGATGTAAGGTTCACAATGGAGCCTCCACTTACCTTCCTCTTCACCTTCCTCTTCTGCCATGCCTCCCCTACCTACAGGAGGTCCCTTGCTCATGGATTTCTTGCTGCTTCCCAAAAATGCCTTTGTACGTGCACTTCCTTTAGAGTGCCCTTTAGTCCTTTTAAGAGCTAACTCAGGGACGCCTGGGTGGTTCAGCGGTTGAGCATCTGCCTTCAGCCCGGGGTGTAATCCTGGAGTCCCCGGATCGAGTCCCACATTGGGCTCCCTGCGTGGAGCCTGCTTCTCCCTCTGCCGGTGTCTCTGTCTCTCTCTCTCTCTTTGTCTCTCATGAATAAATAAATAAAATCTTAAAAAAAGAGACCTAATTCAAATATCTCCTCCTTGGTCACATTTCCATATGTTCTTTCTTCTGCACTCTCATATGTAACTTAGACTTCTGCTTTAAGCCTCTTGTCCAGAATGTTTTCAACTTTTTTTTACTATGACCCTCAGTTATAAATACATTTTATCTCATGATCTAATACATACACATTAGAAAATCTCACAGAAAGTAATTATCTTACGCTGGGACACAATGTTATTTTCTATTCTTTTCCTCCTATTTCACTTAAAACAGCTGCTGATTGCAACCCATTACATTTATTTCATGTTCCTCTAAAGGAAAGGATACCCCACAGCTTAGAAAAAAACACTACCCTAATCCATATCCTGCCCAGGATGTCAGCCTAGATCCAGGGCTTGTTTCCATGGTCGCTTCTGGCTCACTCTGCTCCCATGTGTCTCTGGATTTGTGTCACCTTGCCTCCTGCAGTGGTTCCTTTCCCTCAAGTGACTTGGATGAGGAGAACAGTCACTTGTCAATTTCAAGAAGGCCCCAGTATAATTACCGATATAGCAAGTATACTGAGTGCTTGTGGGTAATTGTGAAGGATAACTGTGATAGTTCTGAGCAGCAGATTAAAGATAATATTGGCACTTCCATACTCTCAAAGGGATGCTTAGCCTTTTCTGCCAATTCAGGCTTCAGCTGTCTGTAAATCGCCTTCCCCTCTCCCATTTCCATCTCTTATAGTCCCCTATGACACTCCCACGGTCCCCAGTATCATAAGCCAATTTAGGCATTGACATTTAATGATGGACATGTGTGATAGACGCAAGAGTGAAATGAAGAAAGAGTGTAATGAGAGACAGATTCTCTAATTAAAGTAAGCCTACTTAATGAGATAGATGGAGGGATAAAATGAAATGTGGACGTGAGGTGTGAAATTAGATTCAGTGGTTGGGGTGTACTTTCCAGACAAAATTCTAAGCCTGGGTTATCCTTAAATTTCCACATTTCCTGTACCCATACTCAGGATACTGGGGAATATCACACAATTTGGCAGATATGTATGCTACAAATTCATAGTGACAAATTTAAACACAAATATTTAGAATTGAATGGTAAGAAAACACTATGTACCAAAACTTGTGGCAGGCAGCAAAAGCAGGGCTTGAATAAAAATTCTCATAGCCTTAAACATTTATATTAGAGATGACTGAAAATTAATGTTTCTAATGTAAGAAGCTAGAAACATCAGCTCCAAGAATAGTATACCTAAGAAAATAAGTCAATGAAATAGAAAATAAAAATACACTAAAAAGATTAATAAAACTTGAAGGTGGTTCTCTAAAAAGTAATAAAGTAGATAAAAGTCAAGCAAGACTAGGGCGTTGGCTGGCTCAGTGGGTAGAAAATGTGACTGTTGCCCTTGGGGTAGTGAATTCAAGCCCTGTGTAGAGTTTTAAAAAAGTCAAGTAAGACTAATCAAGGAAAGATAGAGTGACATAAATGATTAGTCAAAATGGAAACAGGCACGAGTATTTGTAGTAGCTTTATTCCTTATCACCAAAACTGGAAGCAATTGAGATGTCCTTCAATAGGTGAATGGATAAACAAACTGTAGTACAGCTATAAATAATAGTATCTTATTCAGTGGTAAAAAGAAATGAGCTATGAAGCCATTAAAAGCCATAGAGGAAACTTAAATACATACTGCTAAATGAAAGATGCAAGTCTGAAAAGGCTACATAATGTATGAATCCAATTACATGACATTTTGGAAAAGGCAAAACTCTTGCAAGAGTATAAAGTTCAGTGACTGTGGGTATTTACCCAAAGAAAACAAAAATACTAATTTGGAAAGATACATGCACCTCTATGTCTACTGCAGCATTATTTACAATAGCCAAGATATGAAAGCAACCTAAGTGTCCACTGATAGATGAATGAATAAAGATGTGCTGTATATACACAGTGGAATATTATTCAACCATAAAAAGGAATGAAATCTTGCCATTTGAAACACTATGGATGGACTTACAGGGTAGTTATTATGCTAACCGAAATAAGTCTGAGAAAGACAAATACCGTATGATCTAAATCTAAAAAATAAATGAACAGACAACAACAAAAAAATAGAAACACAGTCATGAATACAGAGAACTGGTGGTTACCAGAGGCAAGAAAGATTGGAGGACAGGTGAAATATGTGAAGGGGATTTAGAGGAACAAATTTCTAGTTATAAAATGAGTAAGTCATGGGGATGAAAAGTACAGCATAGG